TTTTTTGATGAAATAAGTGCAGGAAATGATTTTATATACATGGGAGATGATCACTTCAAAAACTTGATGAGTTTGGAACCTAAAGTTGTATTATTTACATTTTGATATTTTTTTGGATAAAAATTGGGAATTAACCAACTTGATAGCTATACGTATGCAAATGTTATGTGATGAGACATGGTTTAACATGTCTAGAAAGATATATATATATATAAAGAGAGAGAGAGAGAGAGAGTCTAGTTCAAATGTTAACCAAGTTTATTGTGTTAACAACCAATGGCAATCTATCTTATATATAGGCTCATATTCATCCTATAATTTAATGCCAAATGTAAATATGTAATTTTTTTTTTTATGCAACTCACATATCATTAAATGGAGTTACAAAATCAAAAATTCTCATGATTTTTGTTAATTTATTATTGATCTTGTTTTTTTTATAATATTGATTTTTCTATCTATAATGTTTTTGAATTTGTGATTGATAGAGGAGACCCAGTAATAAAGTTTTCGGTATCGTTCAAGCTATTATGGATAAACATATCGTTCATAATGAAGGAACTATTGTTTATAAGTGTTCATATTGTGTTCATATGTACGCTAGTTGCATATCTCAACATTGACTCGATCCTGAATGTGTTCATAATGAAGAAACTATTGTTTACAATTTGTTCATATTGTGTTCATATGTACACTAGTTGCATATCTCAATATTGCCTCGCTCCTTAATATGTTCATAATGAATGAACTATTGTTCACAAGTGNGCATATCTCAATATTGCCTCGCTCCTTAATATGTTCATAATGAATGAACTATTGTTCACAAGTGTTCATATTGTGTTCATATGTACACTAGTTGCGTATCTCAACATTAACTCGCTCTTGAATGTGTTCATACTTGTTTTTTATTTATTTCCTTTCATGTAGCAGCTATTCTTATTATGTTCATATTGTATTCATAAATGTTATGCAGTTCAAGTTCATATATATGTCAATTTTTGTTCATATTTGACACAATGGTTCATATATATATATATATATATATATATATATATATATATGTTCATATGGTTCTTATATTAACAAAAATAAATTAACAAAAATCATGGAATTTTTTGATTTCGTAACTTCCAATTAATGATATCAGAGTTATATAAAAAAGAAAATTACATAAATACCCTTTTCCATTTTGTTCACATATGTTTGTGAAATTGTAAATTTAAAAAATAAAAAATTTAATATGATAAATCATAACCGCTTATTGTAAGAATCAATTAGGGATAGTGATTTGCCCCGACCCAGTGGGGAACCCGGTTCACTCGACCTGAACGGGGACGGGGATTCCCCGCTAAAACGGGTCCTGGGGCCAGGGATCCCCGGTAGACACAAACCGGGGACGGGGCCGGGGATCCCCGGTATAATCAAAATAAAGGATACTATTTACAGGGTTTGACCGGGGATTGACCGAGGTTTTACCGGGTTTTGATCGAGGATTGTTAGAGATTTGACCGGGGACGGGATAATAATCCCCATACCCGTCGGGAACTGAGGCCGGGGGACGTTACTACAAATCGGGGCCGGGGCCGGGGATTACCAAACCCGCCCCATCCCCGCCCCGTTGCCATGTCTAGAATCAATGGCCAAGATTGGTTAACAAAGTTAACACAATAAACTTGGTTAACATTTGAACCAACCCCTATATATATATATATATATATATATATATGTGTGTGTGTGTGTGTGTGTGTGTGTGTGTGTCTGTGTGTGTATTTTTATGGATCCATAAACATAAAAGTCGACTTACGGTGAGAATATGGGATAATTATTCTCCCACAAGCTAGATACAGGAATTATATCACTGGGAGACTCGAACTACGGACCTTGGGTGGTTGAACTCGATGATCGTGTGGGCGTAATGAATTGATTATAGTGAATGGGCATATCTTAGTTCATTGGGGGATTTGAACTACAAACCATGAGTGTTGAACACAATATGACCAATGTTCCATAATATAAGCTCTATTACAGTGAAACGTGACTTGCTTTTGTGTTCCATCACTGTCAATGGTAAACCGAGTCTTCTCTATCATCTTTTGATGTTTTATACCTTCCAAGGGTAAATGTGATTTTGTATATACGCAATGACTTGATTAAAGCTATGTTTTATAGCTTTATCATATAACTATTTAAGCTCACTAGGCGTCAAGACTAACATTTTTTCTTAAATGACATGTATGTCAGATTTCCTTAGCGGCGGGCCTCCAAAGTCTTGAGCAAAGTGTTTGGATGTTGGTAGAGGCACTTTTGGGGTTGATGACTTTTGGTCAATTTGGCATTATATATTGATAGGATTCTTTTGGAGATGATAAAAAAAAACTCGTCTATAATCTAGACTCATGATAGTTTAAATTAGTAGGTTGTTATTTATCATTTATTTCCCCTATTTAGGCAATTTTATATTTATAGGCTACATTTTTATATCGACTTTTAGGTGTCGTTTACTTAAATGCTTACCTGGTAAACGTTTATCGTTAAGAGTCAACAATATAATTTATTTTATCGGGTAAAATTGTAGTACATCAAAACGTATCTTATGCAATAATTTACCTGGTAAGCGTTTACCCGGGTAAGACTCGTCACCCTAACTTTTTTTTTTGAAGTATATAATATTTATATACGGCAAATAGAACAAATAAACTCACACATCTTCCTCACCTTTGGTGAGGTTTGAACCCTTGACCTTCTAGAAGGTCAAAGACTCACATACCGCTAGGCCAAATGCCCTTTGGTGTCGTCACCCTAACTTACCGGGTAAGACTCTCCATTCTTATCATCGCTCTTACCGGGTAAGATTCTTGCCCCTTGCCATGTTCATCCAGTAAGAAATTTTGCCCAGTAAATACTTATCGGATAAGCGTTTAGTAAACAGCCCTTTAGTTTCAATTTGCTCTTGGAGGGATGTTACAATTTGAGTTAATAATGATATAAAATTTAAGCTTTAAAAGTATTTTATGGACTTGAACACAAAAATTGATCAACTGCTCTATCAATTCGAAGTCAATGAATTTTATATTTTGAGCGTATGGTTAGAAGATTATGAACATATAAGCATGTGTTGTTCGAAAATACATATATATATTCGAATAGCTCGACTCGAAAAATTGAATCGAACTTTCAAATGAGCGAGTCAAAACTTAAATGTTATGAAGCACGACTCTTTAAAGTAAATGTGTTTTGTTTTGTATTCGAGATCAACTCGAACTCAAAAATTCTAAAGCTCGAACTCAAACAATCGTTAAAATTTCAAATCATTGGCATTATGGATGCTCACAAACCCGACCAACCCGGCCCAATACAACGCGAAATCACCCAATCCAAAGCAACTCGATGTCTAATCGAATTTTAAAATTTCAAATTGGGTTGGTGTTGGGTAACGGTAATTTGAACTCAACCAAACCCAATATCATTTTATTTTTTAGATTTAATATGATTATTAAGTCTATATTAATATGTACATTAGACATTAACCATCACATACCCTCTTTATATACATATATTTTCAATATCTTTCCATCTCTATATAACTTCGTTGTATAAATGTTCAATAAATGAAAACATATATATGTAAATTGAGAAAAAAAAGTTAGAATGTTTTTATTGTGATATACTTAAGATTTGAGAAGCATCATAAGTTGTACCAAATGATAGATGATGAAAAATGAACTATGAATAGATAAAACAACATATTTAAGGTCAGAAGAATATTTTGAAGTAACATAGTATCAACCCGTACGATTTAGGTTGAAAATTTTCAAACCAGTTAAATTATTTAAAAATCTTTGATCCGATCAACCTAACCAGATTCATGCTAATGAACTCAGGATACCATGTCATAAAATCATAGAAGACATAACAAGATAATGTTTATATTTTATTAAGTCATTTTATTAAATTAAGCTATTATATAATATTTGAAAATATTTGTGTTTTGAAAAATCTATACTATATTATAAAGTATTTGACAAAAATTCTTAAAAACCACTTTTTATACATAAAGTACTGTTTATTAATATATGTTACTTAAAGTTCAAGATTACAAGTAGATTGTGCGTAAATACAACTTATTAAAACTTCATATCTGAATTTGTGTAAATAACTGCAAATAAACATAATCAAATACAAAATAAACATCTTATTTTAAATATAAAAGATCTAAAATATAATTAGGATAATCATTGAGTTATAACATAATATTTA